TATATATATATATATATATATATTATAGTATATATAAATAATACTATTATAATATTATTATAAATATAATTGCTATAATTTCTGTTTAATGAAATATATTGTATAATAAATTACATTTTTGTTTTTTAGTATTTCAGTAATTTGGTATAAAGTAATATTTAAAATTAAAAGTAAAATTTAAAAGTAATATTAAAGTAATATATATATATATATATATATATATATTAGTTATTACAATTTTATATAGAAACAACAAAAATATATATATATATATATTTAAAATTTGAAAAACTATATACAGGGTGTCTTGTGATACGTGAAACCTAATTCCAAGAGTGGACAACATGTATTATGAATATCGTGAATTATTGAAAAGCAAAAGTGGCTATAACTTAGGATATATTATTAATATTAACTCTTTACATTGTTCTTGGTGTTTATCGTCTACTTTTGAAATTGATTTCACATTATATTATATTAAACATCTTGTATAATAAATAAATCGTAGATTTATGAAAAAAGAAGACGAAATTTGGAAATGAAATATCAAAAATTCTTCTTAACAAATCAAACTGTATATATAATACATACAATACGAGCGTATAAAACTTTCGATTTTAGAATATATAAAACTCTTCTCATGACGAGATTACTATCGGTCATTCAATTATGCAGAAAAACAACGAAGAAAACGGACTAGAAAATGGTGGCAATAATATACGTGGACCTGGACCTGTTCCCACGAGGTAAGACACATTGTGATGTGTGTGTGTGTATATATATGTTTCTATTTCCTTCATTATTTATTTCTCTCTCTCTTTTTTTTTTTTCATTCTTTTCTTTTTTCTTTTCTCTCTCATTTTTATTCACAAAGATTCATCGATGAAAATAAATATTTGTTTTTATTTATATCTAGATCCAGACCTAGCAGTAAAATGACCAAATACGTTGAATGCTGGGGTGCCGATAAACCTTTTGCAAATATCGCTGAAACAACTTTAGCCAAAAATATCGGATTAACGGTAAATGAAATGAAAATAGGATTATTTTGATATTTCTTTAAATTACTAACGTTTCATTATCTATCTATATTTAATTTGTATTTATTTGTCTTTGATTTATACAGAGCATCGCTATGATCGAATCTAATCTTATAGCAAACAATACCAATTGTTTCGATATCAAGTGAGTGAATGAATCTTCCTCTCATGTATTATTCATGAATCAATAAATTCACTCGTATTGAATAATTATCTTTATTCAATTGAAAAATATATATTTATGAGAACATTTGTATAATAATATTATATATAAAAATACAAGAGCTGTATATACATTTGATATTCATTTATTCTGATGAACAGGCAATGGTGCGGTGGTAGCGAAGATATTTTACCTTTCACCTATTGGTTCAAAGACAAACATCAAGAACTTCAATACAGAGAACAAAAAGATGAACAATATCCTTGGTATCTTATTGCATCGAGCATCTTTTATACATCTATGTTTTCTATTCAAGTAATTTACATGCGAAGGTATCAAATTAAATGGAAATTATTTAATCCTATTATTAATCAAATATTTCATCTAATGACATATATATATATATATATATATATATATATATATTCAGGAGTATCACCGTTTATGGATGTTTCTCAGCTGGTTTGGTATCTTTATTAATAATCGCTGGAATTTCTTGGTTCGCTCGTAAAACAAGATGCGAGAGCGAATTAGATGCTCCAGGGCAAGTTGCATTTTGTCGTGGAATGAGAATGACTGTTTATTTTATCACAGCATCTTTGGCAACTGCTTCATCTGTTATCAGTTTAATCGATGTTGATAATTCTTATCAAGACGCACCGGTAAGTTTAAATGTTACTTTTGAAAATGTTTTTTCCTAATTGTGATTGATTAACTGATATTATAATTGAAATTAATTAATATTTATTTGTTTAGTTATATGTATATTCGGCAACAATCGCATTAGTCGTCAGTTGGACTCATTTAAGAGTTGGTTTTCTTCTAAAACTCACAGTTATGTTAATCTCAATCTTCATAATATTATTAACTTTATCTCAAGCTCCAATTATAGAACTTTATTATGCAAAACACGAAATCGAGTAAGTAAATAAAATTCTATTTAAAAATAGAAAAATCTTTTTTTATTGCGGATTATTTAATTGAAACATTTTTATATTTATAGATTTAAAGGCCTAAATTACTTGCTGAAAATAGGATACTTATTATTATTGGTGGCATTAGTACTTCATGTATTAGATAGACAAGTTGAGTACACATCGAGAACAGATTTTCTTTGGAAAAGTAAACTCAAAGTTGAACAAGATGATGTTGAAACTATGAGAGGAATCAATAAGATTCTTTTGGAAAATATACTACCTGCACATGTGGCTGATCATTTTCTAGCTACTAGAACAACACAGGTGTTGATATTAATTTTAATGGATATCTGGATAAGATTTATTATATCACATTTCATACAATTGTTAACATCTTTTTTTATGTTTGCAATTAAATTACTTGATCATTATTGGATTATTATTTATTTTATAAAATGAGAATAGAGGATTAATTGTTTTTTTACATTTTTTTTATTAATATGATGAAATGTAATATATATATATATATATATATATTCTTCTTTTAAGGCACCCATATATTTATTGAATTGTCTTATTAACCTTCCATTTTTTCAAAATCTTCCTTAATTTAATTTCTAGGAACTCTATCACGAAAGATACAGTAGTATAGCAGTAATGTTTGCATCTATACCCAATTATAAAGAATTTTACGACGAGACTGATATAAATAAACAAGGTCTAGAATGTCTAAGATTATTAAATGAAATCATTTGCGATTTCGATATGCTTTTATTGAAACCTAAATATTCTGGTATTGAGAAGATTAAAACTATTGGAAGTACTTACATGTTGGCATCCGGATTGAGTCCTGGAAAAGAAAATACTGAAGCTAAGGTATGCAAATAATTATTGTTTTACGTTAACAATGAAGAAATATACAATATTTATTTATTTTTTATTCTTTTTTGTTTTTTTTTTTGTTTTACATAGGATCCATTACAACAACAAGATCACAACGTGATAGTTCTTGTCGAATTTGCCATTGCATTGATGACAATTCTTGATCAGATTAATAGAGAATCTTTTCAGAGATTTAAATTGAGAATAGGTGAGTTATAATGAATATTATATACAAGGTGTCCTAAGATTTACTGGCCAAATATCAATGGAAGAGTATATTTTGAAATATCACATATCAGAGAATTATCTTGTAATTTTAATTAATGTAGCTTTTTTAAATTTATAATTGTATAATATTATTTGTGTGGATTATTTTCAATATAAAAAGAAGACAACAACAACAAAAATGCAATTCCTTTTATTAACAAAATTATTTTCTAATCAAGGTCTCAATCATGGCCCGGTGATAGCAGGTGTTGTAGGAGCACAGAAACCCCAATATGACATTTGGGGAAACACAGTAAATGTGGCATCAAGAATGGATAGTTGTGGTGAGATGGGAAAACTTCAAGTTACCGAAGACACAGCTAAAATATTAATTGCAGCAGGATATGAATTAGTTTGTCGTGGGCCTACCTTTGTTAAGGGCAAAGGAACATTGACAACATATTTCGTCAAGACACCGTTCGATAATAAAGAGGACAATTACTGAGTACCTGATGATTTTTCTCTCTATCATTTCAATTATGGTGACATCAACGCGTGCGAGAGAAGGTGTGAGATAAAATTAAAAAAAAATTTACGACCTCGTTGTGATGATTATTATTTCAATTGAAGATCAACAAATAATTCTATACATTTTGTTCTCTAATTGGAAACAATGTTTTAATCGTTAAAAAAAAGAATGGAAAAAGAAAAAGAAAAAGAAGAAAAAAAATACGAAAAATAGATAATGCTTGATCTATGTTTCCTTCGTACTCTCGAATTCATAATCCGTGTAAATAAGAATAATGTTAATAATAATAATATAAATAATAATCGTTACATATATGATCGTGTTCTTAAAAGAACTGAAAAATAATATTACAAATACTCGAATAAGTAAACGCGATGATCTCATGCGTGTATTTAAGAATTCAAGGTGTGTTCTTGACACGTTATAAGAAATAATTAAAAAAAAAAAAAAAGCGAAATCATTGTTTTGTCTTAATGTTTAAAAATCAACGTTGAAAGAAACTTGACAAGTGACAATCATTCCACCAAAGTCACTGTCACTGTACTATACCATCTCTGATTCTCTCTCTCTCTCTCTCTCTCTTTCTCTCAAATAAATTATTGTATTAATTATTGAATCATTCGCAAATGTTGTGTCTTTCGGTAAACATATTTAATATACGCATACAATTTTATTTATTTATTTATAAATATACATATATATATAATATAGTTTGATCACTCAAGAATTTTTGACTCTCTCACACCCTGTATATACTTTTTTAAGATTTAAGTTTTAAGATAAGAAAGAAGATTAAAGAAAAAAAAAAGAAATCTAATCTTATTATATTACTTTTTCTATATATATATAATTAATTGTATAATCTTAAAATAGAAATAATATTTAATTGATTATAAAAATCCAAGTCAAGTTATGTTAATTATTGCGTTTATAATTAATGTCATCTCATTAAATGAGATTAAATGATGTCTCGCATTAATTGTTAATTTAAATAACAATGGCCTTGATTCTGAATACACCATTCGGGTTCTAATCTATCAGCATTAATGCCTCTTTCAACGAGTCTCTGTCGTTGTCTTAATATTCTATGTTCGGCATGAATCCAAGTAGAAGCAGGATCAGACCAAAGTCTTTCTGCGAAAGCTGCTGATCTGGGCCATAATCTTGAATCAACTGAAGTACTGTCAACTTGTTCAGTCCAAAGTGTTACTTCTCCGCCTAAGAAAAAAAAAGAAAGATTTGTTTATCAATTTATAGAAGAAAGATAATGTTTGATCAATTGATCATATTGATGTCACAAAAAAAGAAATGTATCCAAAAAATAACGGACGTCAAGAAGGATTTTAAGACAAAAGAAAATATATTTACCGAGTACTAAATTCTTCTTATTAACACCGAAACCTTGTTTCATAAGAATGTTAGACGGAGAATTATCGTAAATTAATTGCCAGCCTTTGTATGGTGAACACCAATTGTTACCTTCACCAACCCATGCTCCAAAACTGTGTATAATAAGATATTGAATATATATTCATTTATATTTTCCTTTTTTGTTTTTGTTTTTGTTTTTTTTTTTTTTTTTTTTTTAGGGAGAATAGGAAGATATTAATTGACTTACCCGCAGTCAAGGTAAAGAGCATCATAATTAGAAATGATGACTTTGAAATTATTGCTTATTAATCTACCAACAGTAACATCAGTAGCAGTGGTCCAAATTTGTACAATATACTTCTGAGTATCCAAATATTTGATATTTTCTACATTGGTAAGTCCACTAGTCCATATAATAACGGGAATTTCTTTTCCCCCGTTAGCCAAAGTTAACTTATCAAGTGCCTTGTTTTGAAAATGATTCCAGAGCAAATAGAAACTCGATTCTGATAAATCCCATCCTTTAGCGAGCATCCAATTCTTAATCATATCACTGGAGTTCCAACAATTAATATTGACCTCATCACCACCCATGTGAAAGATATCTGGATTGAAATCTTCCAACATTTCTTTGTAAATACCTTCGAGAATTTCATAGACCTTGTCGCTGGTTGGATTTAATTGACCGCATGGTGGTTCAACGCAATAATTCATCCATGGTTCTGATTTGAAGCATACCGTTGTATTGTGGCCTACCTAATTCATATTGATTCAGACAAATTCATTAAAGATATGATCAATGGAAAACATCATTCAAAAATAATTATTAATATTTCCGAGTAAGTTATTCGATCAAATTATCTAAATAATAATAATAAAATATTTACCCATTGCCAACCTTCGCCAACGTGAGCAGGTGCATCGAATTCTGGTAAAACACGTACACCTCTTAATAGAGCAAACCTTATGACATCCTTAATGTTTTCCTTAGTGTAAACTTTGTCTTTGCTATAGGCACCATATTTGGTGAACAACGGATAGGTTTTACTTTCGTATGGGAAACTATGGGAATCTGTGATGTGCCAATGGAAAGTATTCATCTTTGACATGGACATTGCTTCTATGGTATTCTTGATCGTTTCAACGCTAATAAAATTACGACTAGTATCCAAAAGTATTCCACGATAGGGATAAGCTGGTTTATCTTCAATGTGAGCACTTACAATGATTTGTATTTTATCATTTAAATCGTCGAATATTATTAATTGAGACAATGTTTCCAAAGCATTTCGAGCACCGAAATAAGTCTTTGCTGTTATCGTCACGTCCATCTACATGATGATTGTTAAAAAAAAAGAAAAACAAGAGAAAGATAGGAAATTTAAATAATTCAATAGATATCAATAATAAATGATGATGCATATAATGATGATGAATAATTTCACAAAAAAAAAAAAGAATGAATACCAATTAATAATAATTTATTAAACAAGAAAGAAAGAAAGAAGAACTCTTGTAAAACTGGTATTGAGAAGATGTTTGACAACATCAAAGAAAGAATGTCATATAAATTTTTGTTGTTGGTTTATTTCTTTTTTTTTAAATATCAATCGAAGGGATCTTAATTTACATATTGATTCTTTTTACGATGAATTATTCATGAGATAAATGAATAAAATTTTGAAACAGCGATTATTATTATTTAGCGTTAAAGTATAGAAAAAGAAAAATTAACAACAAATATAAAAATAACTTACCGATTTGTCATCGATCTGATAAATTTGTAATTTGTAACTTTCATCGGTGTCTAATGTCAATTGTACATGGTGTAATTCATGAATATCATTAACATTAATTATCAAACCTACACCATTGTTGTCGACAGGTGTACCAAGTTTTTTAATATTTTCTTTTAATATATTAACGTTCTCTTGTAAAAGATCACCTACTTTTGTATTTAGATCTATGCCATTTAAACTGATGTCATTAACATCAAGTGGTATTACCGAATTACCCAAAGATAAGTGTCCTGTTGGTTTTGGCCATAAAGAACCACTGTCACCGCAAAAAAATTGACATACTTTTAAAGACATTGGCGATGTTATTTTTTCTGTTATCTCTTCTTTTAAACAATGTCCTCCGTTGCATTTGAAATGCCATGGTGTACTATGAATAAAATAGTAATCAGATTAAATGGATTATTATAGTTCTATGTTGAAGATTTTTAAAAAATGTATATTTATTTATAAATATATTATTATAGTATATATATATATATTTACTTTACTATATTTACTTATTATATTTTTACTATATTACTATTATTAATATATATATATATATATATATATATTTAGTTATATAATATATTTATATATAAATATATTATTAGTTTATAAATATATAAATTTATTAGATTAAATACTATTTATTATATAGTATATATATATATACTATAATACTAAGTATACTATAGTATATACTATAATAATAAGTATATTAACTATTATTTATATATATATATATATATATTTATTTATTATTTTATTTAGTTTATAATATATAATTTTTAGTTAATAATATATATATATTTAGTATATAATACAGTTAGGAAAAGCCTTTTACAACTGAACAATTAATTTAAAAAAATATTAATCTAAAAATCTAATTTATTACTATAATAAATACTTTATTATTATTATTATTATTATTATTATTATTATTATTATTTTTACAAAATTTATATCACTGATAAGTCATAATAATATAAGACGATACTACTATACGTGTAATACTGTTTTTTAACGTTTGTTTATTATCACGATAATACTATATTGACATATAAACAAACGTATTAAATTCCACAATTGGTGTAAACAAAATTATAAGATAATTCGACTTACAATTGTAAAGAATTTTTTTAACAATATCTTATTATCCTCGATCTAATTCGATATCACTTTTTACAAATATTTTTAATGTTTCGGATATATCTTTTTTTTTTTAAATGTCCTTTTTTCATTTGAAAAAGTGGCCTAATTTTATATTTATAAATCAATATTAGATTACTTTCACCGTAAAAAAGAAACGAAGTATCTTGTGTCACTTTTGTGAGACACAAATCGAATTACGCGCCCTACGTTCGCCATGTTGTTTGACCAATCACGTGACCTTCCTGGTTATTTTAAAAAAAAATTCACGTGCAAACAACGAACACACACACACACACACACACGGTCACACACGATACAATTTCAACGATTTCTAATCGAAAGAACGATCAATGTGATGCCGATCTTTCACCGACCGGTTTTTAGCGTTTATTAAAATCTGATACTTTTTAATCAGTTATTTATCACGTTATATCTTTCCATTTGTATAGAAAATTATGTTCGTATTGAAATTCAATTTATCTTGTATAGATATGAATTTCAAAGAAATGGCACATTTTTTATTTTTATTTTAGATATCGCGATAATTTCAATCGATATATATCGATTAAGTAAATATTTAATATACGCGTATGATGTATATAAATAAATAAATAAATAAATGAATAAATATAGAGATAATATTGATTTTGATTTATAATCTGAAAAGATTAAATGAAAAGTTAAAATAAATAAAAAAGAATTTAACCGCGAAATAGAGAGAAAAGAGATATTTGATTAAGCAACAACATTCATCTTAGAAACTTACAATGCATATCTAATTTAAATAACTAAATAATCCCGCCAATTGTAATAAAACTATTTGTCATTATAAATAATATGAAAATAAAGGGATTTGAAATTATTTGTTATCGTAAAAAAAAAAAATAATATAAATTTATTATTATATATTACAAATTTTGAAATATCTATATTTTTATAAGCAGTAATACTATGAAACACTTGAAAAATATTCTACAAAATTAAAAAAAAAAAATAAAAATATGAATAATTTAATATTTCAATTTAAAAACTAAAAATATATTATTTATTATATTAAAAAACATTATTATATATTAGTTTAGATTATTATATATATATATATATATATAGATTCTTATATATATATTAGTAATATATATATAATAATAGTAATAGTATATAATAAATAAAATAATAGTAATAGTAGATTATTATATATATATTAGTAATATTTATAAATGTACTACGTTTATATATTATAAATCAAAAAAAAAGGACACAAAACTTACTTATAAACTTTCTCAGCAACGATGAACTCGCTACAAGCTTCTAAAGCGAGGACAAATATAAATGTAATAGCAATCATATTTCTATCTTTTTCTCGGTGAATTCTACCTCTATCACTAAGAGAGAGAGAGCGAGCCTGTTATCCCTCGAATGAATGCCCACATCGGAGTAGCAAACACTTTTTATCCTCCTTCCTTGAGGAGAGAACGAACGACTTCGCGTGAAATCAGAATTCAAGTGGAAGGGATAAAATGAGTGGGAGTCAAACAAGTGAGGAGAAAGGAAACAAGATATATATATATATATA